CCGTCAAGCAGGGGATCTCGCGTGTGGTGGCTCAGGAGCCAGGAAGCTATCTCGCAACAGTTTGCAGGACGAGGCTGCGTGTTATTCTGAGCCAAGCGCTTTTAGGGCTGAAGGTTTAGGGTTTAGGGTTGAGGGATGAGAACCCACACATACGGTAGGTTCCATAAATAGGGGGACCGCAATGTAGACCCCAATATACTTTACTCCTTGCTATGGGGACCCCGAAGCCCAAGATGGTACCCCCGAATTTTGGTAAACACAAACATATCTCAAGAATAGCCAGAGCCAAGGTATAGCCATGTCAGGGAATGCATGGGGCTTAGCATCACCGGGTTAGAAGCGTAGTTTGAAGGAGGTTCTACGCACCTTGAGCCCTAAACCCAAAACCCCAAAAACCCTGAACCCTAAACACCAAAACCCTAGGATCTTTACCGCCTGGCGGAAAAGGAGCGCTTAAAAAACAAAAAACACCAAAACCCTAAAAGCCTAAACCCTTCACGATAAGTGGTGTTTAAGGGTTTCCAGATGAACTCGCAGGGCTGGAATTTTGCCGAATGGTGGACAGTTTCGGGTTTAGGTTTGTCACGCACTAAACTGACATGGATTGTTCGTTGCTTTGTGTTTTGGCGTTTCGGGCTTCGGGTTCAGGGGAATGTACATTTGCGGTCAAGGAGCCTTTTGGGGCATACTGGACTCGAAACCTACCGTTCGGATGGCAAAGACGTAGGGACTAGCAACTATCATCGGCCATCGCCCGGTAGTGGCTTTCAGTATTGACAGGCGCTGAGATCCAACTGCTTTTGTTTGGCATATTTCAGCTCCAATATCTTAAGTTTACATCGCTCGCATTCAGCGAGATCTAAGAAAGTCCGACAATGCCGCATGAGTGCTTCAACTGGGGTACAGTACCTTGCACACGGGAAAACAGCAAACCACACAAACAGCACTTAAGTTGATCTGGCATGCAAAATGCACCAGCGCCAACGCCAAGCTTGGCAGAAGAGGAGGCAGCAACTCCCCTGCCACGCTATCCTTGCAGCAAACCCGCTGCGTCTAAACCCTAAAGCCAAGTCTTTAAACCCTGAACCCAAAATCCAAAGCTCTATAGAGCCATGTGGAGGTTTGGTCCTGATAGACTCACCTTATGAACCCTACACCGAGTACCTGGCATGGAATCTGTCCCTGACTCAGACAGGGTGAGGGTCTAGAGTTTGCGGGTTGACACTGTGGTTTGCCGTGCAAAGCTTGAGTTGCTTTCAAAAAACTTTGTTTCAGTTATTATTCCAGCCAAACCCTATCAGTAACATTTACTATGTATCAATGCTTTGACAACAACCCAAGGAGGTTGGTTCTGCGGTCATCCCCCCATCTAAAGTGGGGGTTTGGAACGCTTAGGGGTTTTGATTTTTCGGAGCCCACGCATCGAAACTACCAAATTCTCACCCCTACAGAGACTCCAGCTTCCATTTAGTTTTCATCTTCTTTGGCAGTCCCTATATACCCTAGAATCCCAACAGAAGCCTTTGAAATGTCCTCAAAAGCTCTAAACCTTCAACCCGAAATTCACAACCCTAAACCCCAAACCTAAGCACTAAACCCTACATCCTAAACCCTAAACTCCAAATCCGAAACCCTAAATCCTACACCCTGGGCTACTCCTGCCCCAGAAAAGGAGCGTTGCCCAAAAAATCCTGCACCCTAAACCCTAAATCCTACACCCTAAATCCTAAATCCTAAACCCTACGTTAAAGAAAAAAAATACGTCAACCCTAAGGCCCTAAACCGCGTAGCTGGAAAAGCTCAGGCGACTCCTTCGCTTGCTGTCGGCATCCTGGCCCTCCGGCTGCGTAGCGTTGCTTGGCTGCTGTTAAGAAACTTAAGTTATGTTACTATATTGGGGAAACCAGATTAACTACTATATATCTACCCATTATGATAACCCTGAACCCTGAACCCTAAGCCCTGAACCCTGAACCCTAAACCCTGAACCCTAAACCCTAAACCTTACCTGTAATGGTAACTGAATTTAAGTTCCTTAAAAGCAACTCAGGTTGTGGTATCCCGCCTTCAACCCCGAGCCGCCCAGCTGGGTTTGGGGGGTTTGGGGGCTTTAGGGGTTATAGGGGTGAAGGCTTGAGGGTGTAGGGTTTAAGGTTGAGGGTTGTAGGGTTTAAGGTTTGGGGTTAAGGGGTTTGGGGTTTAGGCTTAGGGGGTTTGGGGGGTTTTGGGGTTGTAGCGGTTAAGGGAAATTTAGGGCACGTAGGGTACAAAGGGGGTGGGGATATGATCCATAGGTCAGCTGAGCGTGGACATGTTGTGGAGCTTTGTAGTAGTCGAGGGGCTCGCAGAATGATGACTTGAACATATTTGGGGCTTTCCCAAGATGAGGTGTATTTTTTCGGGGTTGGGTGGAGTCCATTTTTTCTCAGCATTTGTGGGTCTATACTGGGGTACCCTGATTTATAGAAACTATCATTTCTTTTTTGGGTGTACCCTGTCCGAGGGGCTTGCTCATCACGCTTGGCAACTCTTTTGAAGCAAAATGATGACGACAAGCAAGGAAGCAAGAAAAGTACACGTACCGTGGCAACTAACAGGATCAAGAAGCTACAGTCAGAAGTTATGTTGAACCTGCACTCAAAGTTGTCTCGGAGCTCCTTGGGCCTACTCCATGCAGGCAAACGGGCAGCCTGTATCATCGCCGCTTGGCAGGAAGCTGGCCGAAACATATCAGCGTTAACAGGATAGCTTCTTATGCCGGTTACCGGTTCTGCACAAGCATTGGTTTTGGTATTCATGGTAAGCAACATCAGCAGTTATTGCAGCATAGTCTCAATGATTTGTGGACTCAACAGCTGGAATTTGGGGTTATGATCACCTACGTCTCCTCCTTTTTCGGATGCACCCCCTTTCCACCCGAGACGAGCACGTGAGCCATAGTCTAGACTCCAAGTATCCCCCTTAATACTTCCTATGATAGCCCCCTATATAATCCCCCATAGAACCCCCTGTAAGGAGTTTAGGTTACAGCCCATGTCACACAGCTCCTCCGTAGATCAGCCAACAGTTGGCTCCCAGGTGCCAAAGACCTGCAGGCTGGCACTTGTCTTGGTGCAGGTAACCCTAAACCCTAAACCTACTGCAGTTGCTGTAGGATCCTGGGGCCTTCAGTTGATTGGGTTGCTGTTCAGGAACTTAAATTAAGTTACCATGTTATGCATATATGGTAGATTATGATAGTAACTTAGCTTAAGATCCCTAACAGCAACCCAGTTTAAGGTTTGGATAAGGTTTTGGCGCAAGGATCTATCTTATCTAGGCTACATGGATGGCATTCAAGCCCGTGCAGGTGGGGGATGTGCTCGTAGCCGAGATGAACATCACACTGGAAGGTGCCGTCAGTCACTGGTAGACGGGTTGCTGCTAAGGAATTTGAAATCTAGCAACCATAATACTGAAAGGGTTCTCCTATGATATGTACTAATCCTAGAACTAGAAACTTAGGTTGAACCATATGATATCATAGGGCTTCCTCACATTTTCAAGTTATGGCAACTTATATAAGCTAAGTTTCTAAGCAGCAACCCAACCCAGTTGTTCGTTTCTCCATTTTAGCATGCACGTGCTTGTCGGAGGCAGCGAGGCGTTAGCGAGCTCAGGCAGGGTGCTGCACCAGACTCTCTCTCTCTCCCCTTCCCGCCCTACTATGTATATTATACATGTAGTAGATACCTGGGGCGCATAAGGGTTCTGATACACGTACTTTTGGGGAGACAAGGTATATACGAGCAAGGCGCCTGTTTCAGATACGGCCCTTGCGTAGCCGCAGGGCAGCTGCAGCGACCAGGTGTCTTGCTGGTCAACGCACCTTCCCAGACCAACCTACTGCTGCAAGAGAGTCTCAGCGAGCTTGGGCAGCTTGGCACAATAAACCCTAAACCTTAAAGCATCGCCAGGATCTGATCTTGGAGAAAATGTCCGCCCAAAAAAACGCTTCTTAAACCCTAAACCGTAAAAGTCAGAGGGGTTGAACAAAAAGCCTTAACCCAAACCCCGTGTTCATGTTGAGTTTCGAGTGATCTTCAATGCGCCACCCAGATGCCAGGATGTGACCTGCAATTCATTCTGGGAGTCTGGGTTCTGATAGCCCCTACCCTACCCCTAAACAAAAAGTAATAACATGATACTGATAAGGTCCCAATTTACCCTAACCCCCTAAACCCTCAATGACTAAACCTTAGATTTGGGGTGGTTGGGGTTACCAAATCCCTCCAGAGTAGTTTCCATTTTCTTTTCCACTATCCCAATATAACCCCAACATAACCCTAGTATTATTCCCATGGATACCTATATTCCCTAACACCCTAAACACTTCTTACTCAGACCTACCAACCTTTTAGGCTCTTGCTGCCCATGCCCGCGGCCCAGGCGCTTGCTGAGCCGGAAGGAGGGCACGTCCGTGAAAAGCGCAGTTTTCTGGCTTTGAGACCCTCCACGACGTTTTCAGAGGAAAATGTGGGGCTGTTGTTGCAAATACAGCTAGCTAAACACTAGATAGTAGTACCATTATCCTTATAATATAACCCTATACCACTCTATGTTACCCTATACAACCCAAAATTATCCCAATATCACCTACCCCCCCCCCCCCTTAGGGTTTAGGCTTTGGGGTGTATGAGTCCGAAAAGTTGAAATTTAAGGGGGGTCGGGTAATCCCTGGACTGACCTGAAATCCTACAAGGTCAAGCTGCATTCCTATCTATCCCGTGCAAACATGTTAGAGGATCCTGTGTCCTGAGCACTAATACTCTGAAACTTCTAGCTCTAAACTCTGAATCCGAAGCCCCAAACCCCAAACCCCAAACCCAGACAGACGACTGAGTCATTGTTGGGAGCCAGTGCCCTCGGCCTTCTTGCTTCAACAAAAAGCCCTTAACAACCCCAAGCCCTCGGTGCAAAACCCGAAAACCTGAACCCTATCTCACACTGCTTGTGCCTAGGCAGGGAGTCCGACAGACCTCGCAAGACTCTGCGAAGGCGAAGAGCAGCGCAACTTGTTTTCCTGACGTGCAGGGGGGGTGTATATAGGGCAATAAGTGGGGGGTTATCTAGGGCTTAGGGTTGAGGGTTTAGGGCTCCTGATTTTCTAGGGTCTTCTATAGGGGGTGGTCTAGCCTTCGATATGTTGGTATACACACAAAGTCTGTTGTCGAATGTGCTGAAATCATCAAAAACGGGAAGGTTCACAGAGGTTGGGCAACATGCAACATGTATATATATATATACGGATATACACACACATGTATATGATGGCCTCTTTTCGTGCTCAATGTCATCTTGGGTTGCATTGCTTCGCAAATTCCGTGCTCTGGGATTCTGCTTCCTGTGCATGTGCAGCGAGTCTCATTGCTGTTTTGCAATTGCTTACCGGTGATGTTCAGCATCTTGTACATGATGTCATGATGTGCAACAATGTTGGGCTTTGTACATATCATTGTTACGTGTTCTCACCACGAGCTTCAATGTTTAACCTGCGAGTGCTACGATGCCAAACTTACTAGAACAAGCTCTGACATGTATTGCTGTTGCTGCTCCTGATTTTCTGGGTTGCTGTTGAGCACCTTAGATTAAAGTACTATGATCAGAAAACCCTAAGTATATACCCATATATGGTAACCCTAAACCCTAAACCCTGTTACCTGAAGTTCCTTAACAGGAATCCATCATCCATCTTATCGGCCGCTGTTTCAAGCCAACCTCTCCGCAGGACTCGCCAAGGTCACCAACACCAACGCGCGTCGCAGCCTTGAACGAGGGGGTTTACCGGCAGACAGGGAGCACCTGTAGGAAGAAGAGGGACAGGAGGGGTAGAAGAAGCAGTATGAAAATTAGTTGTAGTAGAAGAAGTTGCAGGGGTGGGATGATGATGCAGTCAGTCCCCCTCCTCAAACTCTAAACTCAACACCCCTCAATTTGCCACCCTCAGGGGCAGTCTGGACAGTCGTCATCGCCTGAGCAGGAGGCCAGGGTGGGTTTGGCATGTGCATTCTCGTCCTGCCTGCAGCTTGTTGTCCCCATCAATAAGGCAAAGGAGCGCAAAGGAGCTCATGTAGTTTAGTTGAGGTAAAGTATCCCTGTGGTGGATGCGAATGCGTACCTTATATCTGGGGAATTATAGCAGATCATGCAGGATTTGCATGTTAGTATGAGCAGTACTTGTTTCTCTACTTCCAGTACTTGGGGAGCTGCAACCTTCGGACGAAGCCCTAACCTGCCCTAAACCCTAAACCACCAAATCCCTGAACCCTAAACCCTGAAATCCCTCCCTAAACCCTCAACCCTAAACACCCCAATCCCAAAACCCAAAACCAGCATTGCTGTGTTGGAGGCTCCCAGCAGTGCCGTGGCCTTAGGACCCAGTCTATGTCTCCACTGACGCATGGTAGGGGATGGGGAAATGAGCCAACATGTAAACCCCCTAAAAGGGGGTTAAACAGGGGGTTACATTGAGGACTACTATAGTAGGGGGTATTGAGAGGGATACTAGGAGTTTAGACTGTAGCTCAATTGAGTCGTAGGGCTAACTTTAGGGAGATAGTCAAGGAGTTGTTCTAGGGATAATGAAATTTAGGGTGATTTTCCAGGGGGCAATTCTACGATGATGACTCTTATAGGCGAAGGTTTGGGAAATAGGGATCCGTTGCGAATTCCCTGAGGAAGACCAGGTGTTGGCGACATGGTCGCTCCCGAAAAGGTACCGGGAGTTTAGAACCTAAACCCTAGGGTTTTAAGGGGGATACTAGGAGTTTAGACCCTAAACCCTAAACTCTAGGGTTGTTAAGGGGGATACTGGGAGTTGAGACTACAGTTCATTGGAGGATTTTTGGGGCTTGAGGGTTTGCGGTGCACCGCCAGATCTGAGGCTGCGAAGTCCTCCGAGGCCAGCCCCCCAATGACACTAAGAGAATTAATAGTAGTAATAATGATAGTAAAAATCATACCTTAACCTACCAACACCTACTTTTTTGTAGGTTCCCTGTGAAGTCTATATTGAGTTGTACGATAGGACCCTATTCAGAAGTAGGTTTTGCTAGGTTGAGGTAGTAATAATAGCAATAGTAGGTTAATTATCATCCTGGTAATGATGCAAACTGTGCCTTAAGTGTGTTTTGAGCCGTGATCAGGCGACACCTCCCCTCAGAAACAGAAGGCGCATTGCACACCATGCGTTTTAAAGGTCATTTTGTTGGTGGTTCGTAGGGACAGAAGGCATGGGTCACAGGGTTTTGGTGGGTTGAACCGGGTGATTACATGTGGAGACCCTAGAGTTCCTATCTGCCATTCCCTTGGTAACGACCAGTAAGTCATCATGTTTCCTTCCCAGCAAACACCCCACCAGAATAACAGGGGGCTTGACATCATAGTCTCCTCGGTTTAGGGTTCAGCGTTTAGGGTATGGGGGTTCAGGTTTGGGGGCCCTTGTAGGGAGGACCCATGATGCCATGACCGCAGTTGTCATTGTTGAGCGGCGACCATCAGTGCCCCCTACACCTTACCGCTATTGCGACAACAGAGGAGTTTCTCAAAGGAGCCTCGACCTCATTATTTAACCTCTACGGGTAATCATAAATTCGGGTACCCTACAGCTCCGTTGGAAGCCCCAAGTATCCCTAAGGTCCGTGAGGGGTCCGAAAGTTCAGCACCCTTAACCCTAAGCCTTATAAACCTTCAGCCCTAAGCC